GTAGAAGTCAAATCCCAGTCAAGTGCAACTTTTTGTGTTTTTGCTTTTTGAGATAGGGTTTTGCTATGTAGTTGGGGTCAACCTTAAACTCAGTGTAGCCCAGCTTAGCCTTGGACTCGTGACAATTCTGCCTCAGCCTCCCTGAGTACAGGTGTGCAGCACCATGCCTGGCCAATCTGGTGGATTCTAAAAGTTGGTACTTGAGAATGTCTACCTATGCTTTGCCTCATTTGCCCTTCTCTGTGGTCTACCACCTCTGCTCCCTGCTAAGCCCAGTCAAGATATTTTGGGGAGCAGATGGCAGAAGTAGTGATAAGGAATAACTTTCAGTGCAGAACAGGAAAATCTGGCACTCAAGCAGTGCGAGGCTTTGTCTTCCTCTCATCTGGAGGTCGCTTCAGAAAGCAGAATTTTCTCTTTCTCAACAGACGGGGCTGTCTCTGCCTTAGCTGGGGACACCTGTGGGCAGGGTCACAGGACAACAGTCCTCTATGGGGAACAATGTCTGTGTCTCCTCAGATAGAGGCGTCTTTTGAAAGTAGCTGTGGGTCTTTTTCATAAGCCTGGACCTCGCTGGATTCAGGGCTGTGCTCACTGGAGCATAGGTCCTGGGGCCATCTCTGTGTTAGACAAGAGGCCCAGCCCCTCCCTCTTCTGTTTCCCAGGCCTAGCCCTTCCTCCCAGAGGGGCTCAGGGTCAGATGGGCCCAGCCTGGTGTTGTCTGAGCCAATGGGCAAACCTCTGGTTGGATGTGGGTATTCCCGATGACCTTGGGGTCCAAGCTCCACCCAAAGAGTTGGCTTCCTGGTCTCCTCACCCAGCAGAATTGGCAGACAAGCCTCTCCTAATTGTTCATCCTGCTTCCACTGCCATCAAACAAGGAACAAGGGGAGGATAAAGTGCAGCGACCCATTTGCATCTGGGCCAAGCTTTTGCTGCCTTCCCACCCCTTCACCTCACTTCCTGCGCTCCCTGAGACTGAGCCAGAAGCATGCTTTCAGCAGCCCTCTCTCTCCCTCTGCCTCTATGTCACCTTCTGGCCTCTGTCCTCGATGTTGCTCAGGTAAGAGACTGGGAAACTGGGTGAGAGGGTCAGGCCTGGCTGCTTTGTCAGCGGCCCCAAACAATCCTGGAGATGCTCAGATTCTGGAAGGGTCCTCAGAGTCAGCCAGTTTCTGTCCACTCTCTAGCCACCCACAACACACTCCCTCCTGGGCACACACACAACAGCACACATCTCTCACACACTCCTGCAGACATTTAACAACAGCAAGATATGTAATACAAAACAGACAGCAAAGTATACAAGGCAACACATGTGTGCAAAACACAATGGACTCAGGGGCTGGTGATTTAGCTCAGCGGCATAAGCACCTGCCTTGCAAGCAGGCAGTCGTGAGTTCGATCCCTGGTACCAATAAAAAGGAAAAAGACCAAAAAAAAAAAAAAAAAAAACCAAAAAAAAACCAAAACACAATGGACTCATTATCCCCCTCAGATACTCATTACACATGATTCACAACTGCAACCAATGACACAAGATGTCTGCACATGACACATATTACAACCCGTAGCATAAAGGACATCTTTACATAACAATTGCACCTATATTGATGACCCCCCCATAACCACCTCCATCCATTCACTGCAAATAAACCTACTCTACATGGTTACACATCTCCTCTACACATACGCATGTGTGCAACACTTGCACCTATCACAGAACCCTTTTTCACAAAAGGTCCTCAAGATTCCTGGGTGAAGCGGGGCATGGTGGCACATGCCAATTCCAGCACTTGGGAGGCCTCATGAGGCAGGAGGATCTTTGCAAATTCAAGAACAGTCTGGGGTAGATAGTGAGCTCAAGGCCAGCCTGAAGTGCATAGCGAAACCTTGTCTCAAAAAGACCAAAAAAGGAGCTGAGGATTTAGCTCAGCGGCATAAGTGCCTGCCTTGCAAGCAGGCAGTCGTGAGTTCGATCCCCGGTACCAGTAAAAAGGAAAAAGACAAAAAAGAAGATGCTCTTGCTCAGTTGGGGCATGACAGGGGCCCTGGTCAGCAGCACTATCCCTGCTTGGTCACATGTGTCACATCACCACAGGTGTGCTCTAGTATCACTGTCTCTCAGTGCTATAGGTTTTCTTTTTTCTTTTTTTTTTTTTTGTCTTTTTCATTTTTATTGGTACCAAGGATTGAACTCACGACCACCTGCTTGCAAGGCAGGTGCTTATGCCACTGAGCTAAACCCCCAGCCCCAGTGCTATAGGTTTTCTAACAACATTTGAAATGTGATAGGAAAAGTCCTCTCGCGACACATCCCTGTTCTTCAGAATTTTATTTTCTTCAGAATTTCTTGGCTATTTTTGGATTGTTGCTTTTTTCAATTGAATTTTTTTTTTTTGCTTTAGTTTTTAAAGATAAGATCTCATTATGCAGCCCAGGCTGTATTTGAACTTGCAGCAATCCTCCTGCCTCAGCCCTGAGTTCTGGGAGGCTAGGTGTGTGCCACCATGCCAGTTGCTTCATTTGTAACATTAACATCTGTTTGTAAAGCTCCTTGGAGTTATCTTGGGAGTTTGATTGGACTGGCCCTGAATATATGGGTTAAATCTGAAAGAATCAATATCTCTATTATACTGACAGTCTCATGCATACATATGGGTGCATCTATTCATTTATTTTTTTTTTTTATGCAGAGTTTCACTATGTAGTTCAGCTTTGAGCTCAGTCCGTAGCCCAGGCTGGCCTTGACCTCACGGTGATCATTCTGCCTCAGCCTCCCAAGTGTTGGGATTACAGGTCTACAACGCCGGTATTTATTTCTGTGTTTTTGTTTTTGTTTTTTGGTACCAGGGAGTGAACTCATAACCTCATGCTTGTGAGGCAGGCACTTACGCCACTAAGCTAAATCCCCAGGCCCCCCCCCCCCCACTTTTTTTTTTTCTTTTTTGAGACAGGGTCTTGCGATGCAGTTCAGGCTGGCCTTGAGCTCACTTTGAAGCCCAGGCTGGTCTCCAACTCTCAACGACCCTCCCACCTCAGCCTCCTGAGTGCTGTGGTTACAGGAGTGAGCTACCACGCCCGGCCAGTATTTATTTATTATTGAATTATTTCTCAATTACTTTTTATAATTTCTTCTGTCAAGGTCTTATAAGTCTTTGGCCAAACAAAAGGAAAAATCCAAATAGTTTTCTTGCTACTATAAACAGCAACTAATATTTTCTTTCGTTTTTTAAATTTTTAGCAAATAACATTTTCTACCTGGGGGTATGGCTAGGCACTACAGGGAGTCTGGTATGAGGGTGATAAACGACTGTCACCCAGGAAAAGGAAATTGGAGGCTGGCAGTGGAATTCCTATCTAGTACTCAGCTCCGCTTTGAAGGGGGGCAGGAGGGAGGGAGGGAGCACCTGCAGGATTGTCGGGGGTGGGATGATGAAATAGGCCTGTACCGGTTAGTGAGTCTTTCTGGCGGGGTCACCCTCCTCCTGGATCTGGACCTCCACCCTCACCGGCACTCTGCTCCTGATGGTTGGAACGAGTCTTCTTTCTGGGGACAGAGAGGGTGGAGATGGTTGGGCTGGAGTGGTGCGCAGTTCTCAAATGTTTTGTTCCAGGGTCTCTTACACATTATTGAGGGTCTCAAAGATCTTAGGATGACTATGTTATACCTGAGGATATTTACTGTACTCCAAATTAAAGCCGAACATACACAGGCTTGCATTCTGTCAGCCATCACTGGCCATCTTCACACCTCATGAAGAAACTGCAAATGCACACTTGTGAGAGAAAGAGAGTGTAAAAGACAAACAAGATTTTATTACTAGTTTTATTTTTGTGTCAATCCTGGTTTAGCATTGTTAATAAGGTTGTTATTTATTTATTTGGGTTTTTTTTTTCTCACTGTGTAGTTCAGGCTGGCCTTGAACTTTCTTAAGTAACCCAGGCTGGCCTTGAGCTCAAGGTGATCCTGCTGCCTCGGCTTCTGAGTGCTGGGATTACAGGCATGAGCTCCCACTTGTGAATAGTTTTGACTTATCATACTCCCCATAGGAAAATTATAGCCCAAGACACAAATATCCATTATATAACATTGGTAAAATTAAAACTGGCGATGAGATATTTTAAAAAATAAAAAACTTTTATTATAAAAAAGTTAAAACACATACCAAGCGTGCATGTAAGGTCTAGTTCTTTAGGGCTAAGGCACATGTATAAAGATGCTTGGTCCTTTAAAGAGCCATTTTTGGCTTTGATAAGGGACAGCAGGGGACTTGAACAGTAGGAGCCCCAAGTTAGGCTGAGGCTGGACACTGTCTGTGGGGTCAAGAGGACCACACTCCTGGTTCACCTTTGTACCTGCCTTGCCCTGGGGCTCTGGTCCTTTCTGGGTCTCAGTTTCTCTCTCTGTGTAGGAGAGTAATGGACCAGCTGATAGCTAAGGGACTTGTTTTCTTAGTGTCCACCACAGGGCCTGGCACCCAGGGCTATTGGTGAATGTTGTTGGTTAGTTGAATGAATGAATGAACGAGTGGGTAAGGACTGGAAACTTTGTGTACTCAGGAAACTCCTGTCCAGTGCTCTCTCTCTCTCTCTCTCTCTCTCTCTCTCTCTCTCTCTCCCGGTCAGCTGTGCTCACTTCCTCCACTGCCCACTGCCCACACCTCTTTCTTCTCTCTCACTCACTCTCTCCAGGAACTCACTGCCAAGCTCCCATTTGGTCTCTTGGGAGTCCCCATCCCTATCCCTCTGGGGAGCACTCTGTTCCTGCAGGTTTCTTGGACCCAGCACTTCTTGGTCACCAGGGATCCTGCCCAGTCGTGCCACTGACCTGTAGCATCTCTGAGCTCCCCTCCTGTCCTCACTCCTTTCTCTCCTCACACAGACACTGATGCCTGTGCGGCGGCACCCTTGCTATCTGTTTTCTCTTTTCACTGCCGGATCTTTGCTGTCCTTGTGTCTCCTCGTTCCTCTCGGACTCTGCCCATACATTCACATCTCTCTCCCTGCATGCCTCCCTCTGCCCTTTCTTTTTCTTCCTGACTCCTCCTTGCCCTCCTCCCTCACTCGTCATCTGCTGGTCACTCACTTCTCCTCTTGCTCACTCGTGGGTTTCTGCTGAGTGCACACTTGAACACACGCTTTCGCTCTCTGACTCAGCTGCTGACCTGGTGGCCGCTGCCGGCATTCTGCCCACTCTGTCCCCGCCCTTTGCTCTTCGAGAAGCCTCTGCGCAGTGCCCAAGTCCTGGGTGGCTTGATTTGGAGGTTCCTGTGTTATCTATTGGAGGTTCCCTAGGGTCAGTGCATTTCCTCCTGGGGGTGACTTGGCAGTGATCAGCTCTGTTTCTTCACTTCTGCAATTGCCAGACGGCAGCACAGAGGCTGCGGCCAGGCTGGACCCAGGGACACAATAGACACTACAGCCAAGCCACTGCCGCTGCTGCAGGTAAGAGGGGCCCTTGCTTTAGCTGGGCAGGAAGAAGCCTATGAAAATGACCCGAGGAGGCCCAGTGCATGCCCCATGCTTCAGCTGAGCAATCAGGTGGTTCTGTTTTTAAGGGACTATTGTGACATCTTTCTCTGGCTTAGAGTCTCACATTCAGAACTTCTTTTTTTTTTTTTTTTTTGTCTTTTTCATGTTTTATCGGTACTGGGGATCGAACTCACGATTGCCCGCTTGCAAGGCAGGTGCTTATGCCGCTGAGCTAAATCCCCAGCCCCCCAGAACTTCTTATGAACAAACTTTGCCAGGGGACCCAGCATCCTTCTTTAATTCTCTGGTGGGACTAAGGGGGCTTCAGAGGTCTCCCTGGGAGATAAAGGTGGCAGTGAAAAGGGCTGCTTAGATCTCAGGGAGTACAATGCCCTCTGGTTGTGAGCTGTATCATCTTGGGCAAGTTACACCCCGATGTCTGTGCGGTTTCCTTCTCTGTCAAGTCAGGATAATGCCAACGCCCTGGCAGGACTGTCAGGAGAGCTAGAGGGCCCGATGCAGGGTGGGGTACTCAGGAACTCCCTACACACTGGGTTTCCCTGGTGAATGAGGAAGGTAACCAGATTATGGGCACCAAAGACCAAGCTTGCAACCAGTTTCATCCTCGGGTCTCAGGTGCTGGCCACAAAGCCTGGGCTGCTACCCTTGCCCAGAAGTGGGGCTGACAAAGCAGAGGTGCTGGCCAGGGACTCACTTACTTGGGAGCAATGAGGGAACCGGCTGGTTCTCTCCCAGGCATCAGGCAACTCTCAGGGCAGACTGAATGTCCAGTTATGTTCCAGATGATTAAGTCTGTGCATATGTCAGAAGGACAGTGACTGCCAGGGAAGCAACCAAAAGTGTCTTCTTTGTCTTTGGGTACAAACAACCGAACTAGAGAAAGAAGTTAGCTGGGGTGGTGGCTGGCTGCAATCCTGTGTGGGCATCTAGGGCTTTTGTTTTGTTTTGTTAAATGGAGTTTTTTTATGCAGTTCAGGCTGACCTTGACCTCACTGTGTAGCCCAGGCTGGTTTCCAGTGTATGGCGCTCTTCCTGCCTCAGCCTCCCGAGTTGCTGGGATTACAGGTGTGCACCACCATGCCTGCCCACCCAGGGTTTTGACTCAAGTTCTTCCTTTTAAATCAGGAGCTTGGGCATTTCAAGAGCTTTACTCTTCTTTGCTGAATGGGAATTAAAAGACTGACTTTGTGGGTTTGTAGGCAGAATGAGGAGGCTGACAGGAAGTGCTTGATAGTAAAATGATGTCAGCATGTGAAGAGTAAGCCTGACACTGTAATACATCAAGGATGAGGAATTTGTTTTGTTCATTGCTTTGTCCTTTCCCTTAGTAGAGGCTAGTATGTGGTGTGTGTTTAAGAACATTCATTAAGGCGTGGTGGTGCATGCCTGTAATTCCAGCAATTAGAGCCTACAGCAGGAGGATTGCCACAAATTCAAGGCCAGCCTGGGCAACATAGTGGGTTCAAGACCAGGCTCAACTACATGATGAGACCCTGTTTAAGAAAGAAAGAAAGTATGGGCTGATTATAGGTATATGCCTACCATCCCAGCAATCTGGGAGTTTGAAGCTGAAAGATTGCAAATTTAAACCCAGCCTGGGTAATCTGGCAATTTAGTGATAGCCTGTCTCAAAAAACAAAAAAGTGTGCCCTGAATAGATGACAATAAAGTAGTATGTTGTAGTGCATAGAAAATGGGCAGTGAGCCATGGCCCCACCCTGCCCCTGACACTGGGGTCACCTCAGGCAACCTCAGATTTCCCCATCTGATCAATGGAGGTTTGGGGGATGGATTTATAGTCCATGGCATCAGTGACAAAATATGCCTTTAAGATTGACTATTTTCCTTCTGACTGGCGCTGGTAGGAGGAGGATGGGTGAGAGACTAGGACCCTTGTCCTTTTTTGTTTGTTTGTTTGTTTGTGTGTATTTCTTTTCTTTTTGAGACAGGGTCACACTATGCAGTTTGAGCTCATTTTGAGCTCACTTTGTAGCCTAGGCTGATCTTGAATTTGCAAGGATTCTTCTGCCTCAGCTCCTGAGTGCTGGGATTACAGATGTGAGCCACAGTGCCAGGCTTTTTTTTTTTTTTAATCGGTACCAGGGATCGAACTTACAACCCAGCACTTGCAAGGCAGGCACTTTATGCCTCTGAGCTAAATCTCCAGCGCTTTTTTTTTTTTTTTTTTAAATCCTTGTCCTTTTATGGGGAGTTGGAGAGCTCCCCCACCTACCAGGTTTCAACCCCCCCAATTCATTTTGTGGAGAACTGGGAGCACCCCTCCTGTGAACAAGGAGGGCAGTACAGTCTCCTGTTTGGTGGCATCCTTTCTTTTCCATACTGGGTTCCCTGGCAGCTTGGGCTTGGGCTTGGGAGGGGCAGCAGCTGAGCTAGAGTCTGGGAGCGCTCAAGATTGGCCTTGTGGGGATAAGGGTCTCATGGTGGGAGTAGAGCTGGTTCCTGGAGGGCAAATTTGGGCCACAGCACAGTAACCTCTGAGCAGCCCTTCAGGTCCTCAGCAGCCTGGTAAGAGTGGGGAGAATTCTGTCTCTTGGTTCTCTTGAGTGCACATCTAGTTATGTGGAGCAGACCCTGAACTGGCTCTGGCTGTGTCCCTGTGTGCCTGGGTAGAGGCCTGCAGGTGGCCTGGTACTGCCTGGCAGTTCCCTGAAATAGAAGCAGCTTCAGTGACAAAGCTAGTTGAGCTGGGCATGAGGATTATAGCTGGGTAAATTTGTAATCCCAGCACGTGGAGGCTGGTGACAGAAGAATGTCTGATGGTGATAGCTGGGCCCGGTGGTGAATACCTGTAATCTCAGCACTCCTGGAGGCTGAGGCAGGAGGAGCAATTTACCAAGACTCTGCCTCAAATTTAGAATATAAAATGGCTGTGTAGCTGGGCATGGTGATGCACTCCCATAATCCCAGCACTTGGGAGCTGAGGCAGGAGAATTGTTTGCAAGTTCAAGACCAGTCTGGGCTACAAAGTGAGCCCAAGTTCAGCCTGCACTGCATAGTGAGACCCTGTCTCAAAGTGACAAAAATAAAATGAAATAAAATAAAATAAAAATAAATAGATAAAAGGGCTGGGGATGATAGCCCAGTATGAAGCCTCTGGGTTCCATCTCTAATACAAAAAGGAAATAGAACAAAAACAAAAAAGAAAAGAGGAAGAAGAATTAAAAGAAGCAGAGGGCTTGGCAAGCCTCTGGCATCTTCAGCCAGGGCGATTCTGGAGCTGGACCGTGTGTGTGTGTGTGTGTGTGTGTGTGTGTGTGTGTGTGGAGGGGGCATGTGTGGGAGGTCATCCCTCAGCCACCCCCCCCCCCTTAGTTCTCCAGGAGCTGAGTTCAGCTCTGGAGTTGAGCTGGCTGATGTGAGAAGTATGTAAAAAATTTATATAGTGCCCTTTAGAGTTTATAAAGTTCATTTTAGTTAGTTTGTTTCCCAGGCCAAGGAACTGAACCTAGGGGACTGCACATGCTAGGCAAGCATCCTACCACTGAACTACATATACCCTTACCCCTTTTCAAACTTGATTTTCAGACAGGGTCTTATTAAGTTGTTCAGCCTGACCTCGAACTTGCAATCTTCCTGGCTCAGCCTCCTGAGGAGTTGGGATTAGAGGGGTGTGCCACCATGCTGAGCAAGCCCATTTCAGTTTACCAAGTGCTTTAGTGTTTATGGAGTGCTCTATCTGCCCCACCCCCATGATCTCACTTCCTTTTTACAACACTACTTTGAGGCAGGCAGCACATTCCTCCTTGCAAACAGAAATCTCAAGGCTCAGAGTTGGGCAGAGACTCACTCAAGGTGGTGGACGGCACTGCTGAGTCCAGAACCCAAATCCCCTGATTCCAATGGTTGTGCTTTGTCTCCAGTCACCCTTGATAGCTTCTTCCAAAAGAGATGTGGCTGGCTTGGTGTATGACTGATTCTTTCACTTGTCTTTTGAAAGGGTCTTGCTATGGTGTTACATACTTGCCTCAAACTTGCAGCGATCCTCCTGCCTCGGTCTCCTGAGTGCTAGCTTTACAAGTGTGTGCCACTACACCTGGCTCACTTATTAACAGTTTCTGAGGAGCGTAGGGAAGGGAGCTCACAGGTCTTGAGTAAATTGCTTCCTTCAGATTTTACAACTCCCAGCACTAGCCTGGACCCTGAAGTAACTGAGAGCCTCTTTTCCTGTTTGTTGCATGTCACTTGCTTGCAAAGTTAAAGCCTGGGTGCAGATAACTGTAGTTCCTGGCTGCTGGTTACAGATTTCCATCAGCAGAGGTGATGGTAGTGGTTTCTGGTATCAAGTTTTGGGGTGTTAGTGTCTTGGTTTCCAGGTTCTTTCTGTCTTGAACAAAACAAGAAAAAATGGTGACAAAGGTTATTTGAAAAATTAAAAGTGAAGGGTAAGGGAGAAACCAGCTCTGCAGAGTGAGCTTGAGCTGAGTAAAAGAGGAAAAGGAAAAATAAAGACCAAAATGAGGTACATCCTGGGGGACCTGGGGTGGGTCACTGTGAAGGAAGCCATGGTCATGGGCTCTTCATGGTGTCTGTGTCTTTTTATCCATTCTATATATTGCAGGAACCCACGAGAGGTCCGTTATAGCATCCTGGGAATTATTTGGTGTGTGCCCTAGGACCTGGTCATGCCTGCCTTCTCAGCCAGTCTAAGCCGTGTCCTACCTTCCTGCCTCATTTTCCCTGAGAGACACAAAGCCTCGTAATTCTTTATATGGTGTCGAGGGAGGGAAAGTCTCTGTCTTCTATAGCTTCTTCTGGCTGGAAGGGGGCATACAGCTCCTACCCAATGGGGATTACATGCTCTCCTAACCACCTTGGGATGTCGTGACTCACTGGCTGGGTTGAAGAAACACCTGTCTGGAGGTGCTTTTTTTTTTTTTTTTAATCGGTACCAGGGATTGAACTCAAGACTGCCTGCTTGCAAGGCAGGCGCT